ATTTGTTGGTATATGTAAGCCAGAACACTTTAATTGTAGTTGTCTTTTAGAATAAATTTGTGGTATATTATATGAAATGGCTTAGCATAAGAATGGGTTTCTGAAGTATCTTGTATTCAAAGTGAAAGCATTAGTATTTCCGCGTGCTTCAGACATGTTAACATTGTGTTAGGCTTTATCACTTGTCTCTCATTTTATGTGTCTGCACTGTAACACCTCTGTTTCATGCATCTGCTGCACAGCACTGTTTCTTTCTTATTTGATGATCCTGCATGCTCAAGGCAGGTGGCAAGCCTTACCTGTGATCTGTAGATTGACTATGACTGTCTCTGACGTGGGGTCACAAAACAGGAGTGAAGGAACTCTGCTGAAATGCATGTCCCTTGCCATTACTGTCTGTGAGCAGCAGCTGCTACTCTTGTCCTTTGACAAGGTGGGCTCTCAAGGGCTGTAATGAATGCTGTGATACTCAACCTGCATGGTATTGTCATTCTGCACTGGAATTCTGTGGATTTGTCAAGGGAAAAAATAGTTGCCTAGTGTTAAATAAAATGTTAAATGAATGTTTGTTGAATGTAGTCCAAACTTACGAAAATGCTAATTAATATATAGCAGGTAAGTAATTTATCATATAAAAAGTATGTCCCAAAACTTACACCCGATGACAAAGACTTCTGTGATAACAGTGTAATGGTCTGTTGCAGCTACTAACATGGATTTGTTGCTAATCTGAAGAATAATGTATTTTATACGCAGAGCCTAAGTTGTACCACAGTATTGATACTGAAACTGAGATCATGGGGTGTGTTCGTTGAAGGGATGGAATGCACCCTCTCTGAGTTTGTGGGTGATACGAGATAGGGGAGCAGTTAATAAACTGGAGGGAAGGGCTGCTATCTGGCAGGTGCTCAGCAAGCTGAAGGAATATGGACTGAAGGGACCCACATGAACTGCAACAAGGACAAATGTAAAGTACAGTCCTGTGCAGCACTACAAGCTGTGGACAGAGTGGCCAAGAGCAACTCTGCAAAAAAAAGAACCTGAGGGTCCTGGTGGACTAGCCATGTGCCTCTGACATGTATCCAGCTGTGTTAACCCAGTATGAGAGAGACTGACAAGCTAGAGAGGGTCCAGTAGAGTGCTGCTAAGCTGGTGGGGGACTGGAGTAAATGGCACATGAAGAGAGGCTTAGGAAATGTGTTTTGTGTAGTCTGGGGAAACCTGAAAGGGGGCTCTTATAGCAAATGGCTGCAGTATAAGGGGGTCTAAGAAATGGAGATGAGTTCTTCAGGTGTACAGTGAAAGGTCGTTAGGCAACGGGTGTGAGCTACATCAACGGATATCCTGACTGGCTATAAGGAAGAAGTGCTCACAGCGAGGGGGGTGACACCTTCCCTAATTTCCCCTAGGAACCAGTGGTGCCTGAAGAGGTCATGAAATCTTGGTCCTTGCAGAACTTGGTTGTTGAGGCCCAGAGGAACCTCCTGTAAAGGTGATCCTGCTCTGAAGTCTCTCAGAGCGCCAGAGGTCATTCCCTAACCTAAATCATTCTGTGATAATGCCTGTGTTAAATTTCCTTGCCAGTTATTTTCAGCACCTAGTAGTGGAGTTTCAGCTAAAGTCCAAACATAGTAGAACTTTGAATTTTGAGTTATACTAATTTTAGAAAGACATAAAATTTTACAATTCAATCAATACAAAATTCAGGTGGTGCTTTTATCTTTTTTGATGCACAACTTTTCATCTTTGTGGTGTAACAGTCATCTTGGCATATAGAGACTTGGTATACAAAATCTCTGTCTTAAATTGAGAAAAATTAAACAGCAGGTGTTTCAACTGACTCTGTAAAACATCTGGCTATTCTGTTTGTGCTAAGTGTTTGAACGATTTAGATTTTAGAGCCACTAGGTGGTCCTTTTACTCAAGAAAAATCAAATGTTATGTTGAATGTGTAATTCTGAAATGACTTAATCTTTCATTATTTCTCATTTTACTTCCACTGTCTGAAATTATGAAAAGCTTTACGTCCCCAGGTGGGTTTTTTGTATTCTCAGATTACATATTGGACAAAGTATTATGTGGTTTTATATGCAAACTCACTTAAAACTTTAAGCTATTAAATAGGAGATCATGTTCATAGTCAAGATGCAATACAATTAATAAATTTGTATCTAAATCAAACTTAATTTTTAATTAATTACAAAAGTATGGTGAACTACCACTATATTAGAATCAATTACTATAAAGTAACATTTAAAGGCTAAAATTTAAGAGGATCATACCACAGAACCTTTGGGATTTGTGGACTAACTGACACAAAACCACTCTTTTCAGACTGAAATATTAAATTAGCAGTTGACATCTTGCTGTCATGCAAAATGTTTTAATATTTTCAGTTTAGTTTCTCTTAATGACTAGGTTATTCAAAGCTGAAAGACTTCTTGGGAGTTGTGAAGACAGAAAAACTTGTGTTCATTTGTTAATCTGTGAGTTAAAAGCAAGGTTTCCATAGTGTATTAATTCCACAGTTTTGAAGAGCACCGGGGAAAAAAGAATCTGGCCAGATCACTTGAGAATAATAGGTGGTTAATAAATTGGTTACTTTAAAATTTAAAAGATACTTTCTTCATCTTTATTTTCAAAACATGTAGGTCACTTGATGTATTTGTATTTGACAGTTGTTTACCATCCAAATGCAGTTTGGAAAAAGAGTAATAGATTAATCACCTATTTAATAAGAAATAGCATTTGGCATTTTCTAACAAAATAAGGGAAAAATGACAATCCTGAATTGTTGTTAAATTGTATAAATTCATTATGTAGCTTTGTGGTCAATAAAAAGTAACATGAGAATTAATGCAAAGGCTTTATTTAGTGGAACACCATCATATTTTAACATCTGAATGATTGGAAAAAATATCTCTTTCCGTGGAAAACAATAGGTAGCAATGGAAATTCCAAACCTAGTTAGTTAGCATCTAATGCTACTCACTGTTCTTCTCTCAGTCATTTCTAGGTGAATCTTTATTTTTAACCAAATGTCCAGCATCTGTGTAATGAAAAAAAAAATAAATCTTTTTTCCATTAATTTTTATTCTTTCCTTGATGCTGCTTTTGGTTTCTTTTTTGTAGCATGAAGATGACTGCTGTGACTTTAAAGATTATAATCTTCTCCCACTGTTTGTTTTTTTTAAGGCACCTTGTTGTCCTAAAACCAGATTTTTTTTTTTTACTTAGTTTTTTTTTTGTGTTTTCCTTCCAAAATGTTTTCTGAATGAAAATTATATTGTCCAACTTCTAGAACACACTGAAAAGAGGCAGTTGTTATACTGCTGTTCTAACTGGGTTTTGTAAGTGTGATGACTGTACAAAACTGATGGGATCCTCAGACTCATTGATCCTTTATTTCCTATTCAGGAGTACTTTTGAGGCCTGTATTTCATATGACTGAAAAAAAAAAAAAAAAGTATGTTGACAAAAGAGGATTCTTTTTAACTTCATACCTCACAGACATTTGCTTTTAGAAGAGTTATGTTTTTTTTAGAAGAGTTATGTTTTATTCCATGTATCTGATCCTTTTTATCCTTTTTCCCTCACCTGTATTTCCTACAGTTATTTCTTTAAAATGTAAATTTAACTACAAATACAGGTATCTTCTTAAAACATTTATCACACCATCTGTTAGTGTTATCAATTATGAGTTTTAAATATGAGCTGATACTATAATATCCTTTATTATAAGGCATAATTCCTTTCTTATGGAATGAAGTAGAGTAATAAGTGCTATATAATGTATTTCCACATTTTTGAGATGGAAAGAGTTTTGTTATCTAAATCTTGTTTTAGTGTGTTGTGTAGTGTTTGGAGCCCAGAAGTGAATAATGCATATGGAATAGACGTTTTGTGAGTTTTTGGAACTGTTTTGAACTTTCATGAGATATGGGTATGAAAACACAGGCAGTTCCTTTCTGCTTCTGTATTAATATAAATGCAGTCTTCTGTTGTCAGTGGAAAAAGTGGGTATTAGGTTATGGTTAAGATAGGCCATAGCTTGGTGTGGCTTGGAATTTCAAGGTTTGACCACGGGGCGTATCATTCCAAAATATATTAATTTAAAGGATAAGAGGATCATGAATACTGTAAACATAATAATGATAAAATAATCATAATTTAAAAAACCCTCTTCCTATAATTTCTAGACACCATGAAAAGAATCTCTTCAACAGTTTGTCTGTTCCTCCTTCTATAAGGCTTAGCAATAGCTTGTTTTGTGTCCCATCCCTGTATCACAGCTTCCTCTTTCAATATGGTTGGATGAATGTATTTCGTTTCCTTTGTGGATTTCTTCACTGTCTTCACTAGGTATATAATGTGTTGGTGTTTTATTTACTAGCTGTAATTCTAACATTAAAATGTTTTTCGTTAATCTGTAAACTAAAGCTTAATATTTCTAGAAACAAATTTTATTATTCTCATATAAATGTCTCAGATGCTATTCAGCCTTTTTTTAATTAAAAAAAAAAAAATCTCTTAAGGAGAAATTCCAGGTAAACCCAGCCTTTAGTAACAGGCTTTCTCTTTTTTTTTTTTTAACCATGGAAATAATCATAACATTATTTTGGCATTTCATTGTTACAAATATTTTTGATATTTTGAGAACTTTTCTTTAGATAGTAATTCCCTCAGAACAGGAAATTGTTTTATATGTGGGAAAGATTAGTATGGCTTCAGTTAATTTGCTTGTGTTTGTAGTTTTATCTGTGTAAATTCCATGTAAAACTCTTCAAACTGCACTGTCATTAGCAGTATTAAGACAAAGGAACATTTGTTGTTTTCTCCAAAGGATGTCATGTATAAATTGTAAACTTGTTAAATCAATCTTGCTTTTTTATTAAATGACATGGTTTTACAGCTTTTTCTTTTACACTGTTTATAAGCCTTATTAAAAAGACAAATACATTTTATTTGCTACTGTTTTCTAATTATTTATTTCCACATAGGTGGAGAACGAACTTGCGGTGTACATGAGCTAATCTGCATTAGGAAAGGTAAGCAATGATTTGTGAAAGTGAACTTCTTAGTTTGCAAATAGTACTGGTGAGAAATCTGCTACCTCATGTTACAATCTTACATTTTCTGGACCTTAGTGTTGCATCTTTTTGTTGCAAAATCTTTTGATGCTGACACTGCCAATGAAAAAAGAAAAGTAAAATAAATATACGAAATTCCAAAATGGAATTTGATTTTTTGCAAGAAGGAAACATGTGCTCTTCCAATATTCACTGCCTTACGTGGAAGTTGTTAATGTTGTTCAGCTGTGATAGAAAACCACAAAAACTTTGATCTTTGCCTTGTCCAGATATTTGTAGAATGATTTGATTTTTAGTAGTAATAGAAAGTTGTGAGGGTATTTTAAATAACTGATGTAATGGACTGGCAATCTCTGCATGTGTTTTAAGTTGAATCCTAATGACTCAAGCTTCTTTGAAAACTCCTGTATCAGTAATAAAATCAGTAATTGACAGATCATGGAACAGACCTGTGCTTAAGAGAGAACTTTTATAGGTTTAAAGCTGAGCTACAGTGACTGAAATTGGAGTTTGACAGAACAGCTCAGCTGATATAATGACTACATACGTTTCTGTTTTCTGTCCCTTTTGCCAGTCCTGTGTTCCTTTCTGTGGCACTGCTGTTGAATCTCTGTGTTCTGATCTGAAAGCTAATGTTCAAAAAAATAGTTTCTTCAGGGATTAGTTCCTTGAATTGACTCACTGTTAGGTCAGAAGAGTCTCAGTGCTTTCAAAAGAATATGTGGTGGGAGGAGGGCTGCAAGACTCCTTTGACAGCAGCTGTTAGACTGGTTCAATAGTATTGTCCAGCCACATACTTAGTAGGAAGAAAATTTTTTTGGCTTCTGAGTAGAGCTTAGTTTCCATTGCATTCACTTAAAGGTTTTAGGAAAATCAGGTTGTTTTTTTTTTTTAAACATGTACTTAGTATCTCTTAACTTCAGAATTAGGTCTATCAGTTAATGTGAAAAATAGTTTTATGGTCACAAGGCATCTTTTCCAAATATTTATTAAAAGAATAATTGTTGTGTGTGGTTTGACAGTATTATAATTAAAAACAATTTTCTGCTTTTTAAACTGTGAATAATTTCATTCTTGATTTTTTTTTTTTTATTACTACTTTTTCATTTTGGAGGGGATGTTACTTTTTTATGTTTCAGTGTTGGGGTTTTTTGTTTTTGAAAAAACTTCTTTATTGCTGTCTATTTTTTTCTGTCAATGGATAAGTTGGTACACATAGTGTTCTGTATTCCTTCTGTGATAGGCTCTGTTTTTCTTTCTGAATTATGAAACTCATTGGAAGTTCAGAAGCCTACTGACAAAGTTGCAAAATTTATTAATTTTGCTAATCCCTATTTATTTCAGGGTATTGTAGTGATTTTTAAGTAAAACAATTTTTCTGCATTCTTGGAGGCAGTGCTTTATGGTTTTTAATGTTATCACTGGAAAACTAAATTGAAAAGATGCATTTTTTTAAGGTTCTATGTTATGTTTGAACCTTAGATTCTAAGCTTTGTTTGTCATTGATATGATATTATAAACTTTTTTTAAATAACAGTTGCATGGAACCTGTGTTTTAGCATTAACGGTTATAAATTAGCCTAGAGGTAAGTGTGATTAAAAGAGAAGTATCCTCTTAGTGCCATTTATATCTGCAATATGTTGGATTCCCTTTTTCCTCATATGAGTTCCATGTTTATTCTAACCTTGTGTGACCCTGTGCCCAGCCATGTTGCTGACAAACTTCTCCTTGTAGTATGTGGAATGGGTGCTTTCTTTTCTGTCCTCTCTCCCTACTTGAGGTGTACATATAAGGCAGAAGGTGCTTGCCATTGTACTACAAATCTTCCAGTCGTGTAGTGTTTTGGCCTCTGAGACTTTACATCATCTGACATGCATTCAAGCTGGTTTTATTGTCTGACCAATGGCCAGGCTCCTATGGATTACTTTCTTTGCTAGTTGCCTAGGTCTGCTTGTTTGCCAGGATCAGAGTGCATGGTCAAGATCCATATTGACCTCCTCAGAATAGGAAGGACTTTCCAAGCTGAGAATTCCTGGCTGCCAGCAGTTGAGCTGGTCAAATCAGCTCTGTCCTTAATATCATTGGGTGCTCATTCCAAGCTTATACAGGATTGATTTAAAAAGTTTTGTGGCACAGAGATCTTCCTCTTCACCATCTCTTGGCTGTACCATGAAAGCCAAGCCTTTCTTGGTCTGTGAGCTCACTGTGGAAGTTTGGTGGACAAATTAAGTATTGAGATTGGCACATGGATAACTCCCTGTAGTCTTGTCTGGTGCTAGGTAAGTTTGCACTGTCCCACTCTCCTTTTTCACTGGTGGCCATGTGGCTGTGGCACCTGGATAGTACACCCCACCTCCTAGCGTTCATTCACTTATTTTCATCAAATGCTGACTATGAGGCTTTGAGAACTGGTACAGTTTTTGACAAAATGGTTCTGCATTTGCTATTGTCCTGAAAGCCTCTGATGCTTCCGGCCATGTGACTGTAGGTAGAGTGCCCATGTGGAACCTCTGAAAGAAAGATTAGTAGTAAGTAGCCAGCATAAGTAAGTAGAGTTCTTAGAGATGTTCAGTGTACATTTGTGCTTTGCTTGTCTGTCCATCTTTCTCATAGTCCTTCCAGGTACGTTGTTGAGAAGCAACTGATAAACGGCGATGTTCCATTGTATTTGTCCTGTACTGAATAAGGAAAAGGGAAAATCAAGTAAGCCAGCATGTGTCTTCCATGAATAATGCAAAGGAAAACTTTCCGGTTTCAAGTGATGGAGTGTAATTAGAATTTACACAGGGATTATATGACTTGAACACCTGTTGCTGGTGATTAATTTTTCTTTCTGGCTAGTGAAGCAACACATGCCTAAATTGTTTTTTCTTGCCTGTCCTTTCATTTTTGCTAGGACAAAAGGAACCTTAGGGTATCAGATGATGAAATGTGGAAAGAGACCGGGAAGGTCTGCAAGGTAGTGAAGACAGGGTAGAGTGTCTTTGTGTTAGAACCAGGGGAAAGGCCAACAGGGTAGATGATGTAGTAGGAGTCTACTGTAGGCCACCCACTCAGGACAGAGAGTCTGGTGAAATATTCAGTAGGCATTTAGGAGAAATCTCACGATCGCTTGCACTTGCGGGAGACTTTTAACTTCCCAGACATCTGCTGGAAATACAACACAGCAGAGTGGGACCAGTCCTGGAGATTCCTGGAATGTGTGGGAGAAACTTCCTGACACAGCTGGTGAGAGAACCAACCAGAGAAGGTGCCCTGCTGGATCTCCTCTTTGTGAACAGAGGACTAGTGGATGATGTGGCAGTTGGAAGACAACTAGGGCACAGTGATCATGAAATAAGTGTTCTCTATTCTTAGGCCAGGAGAGGGCTAAGCAGAACCGACATCCTGGACTTCAAAAGGGCTGACTTTGTCTTGTTTAGGCACCTGCTTGAAAGGGTCCCTTGGGAGACGATCCTGAAGGGTATAGGAGTCCAGGAAGGCTGGGCACTCTTTAAGAAGGAAGTGTTAACGGCTCAGGAGCAGGTGGTCCCCAGGTGCTGTAAGAGAAGTCAGCACAGAGAAGACCACCCTGGCTGAACAGGGAGCTTTGGCTGGAACTCAGGGAGTAAAGGAGAGTTTACAGCCTTTGGAAGAAGGGGCTAGCCACTTACAATGATCACAAAGTGGCTGTGAGGCTATGCAGGGCAGAAATCAGGAGGCCTAAAGCCCAGCTGGAAATTAATCTGGCTTCAGCAATTGAGGACAAGAAATGTTTCTTTAAGTATGTCAGTCACAAAAGAAAGACCAGGGAGAGCCTCCATCCCCTGCTAGACGCAGGAGGGAACATGGTAACAAGTGATGAGGAGAAGGCTGAGGTGCTTAATGCCTTCTTTGCCTCAGTCTTTAATAACAAGACTAGCTGTACTGAGGGAATCCAGCTTCCTCAGCCAGAAGACAGAGACTGGGAGAATGTGGGAGAACGACCCCCCGCAATCCAGAAGGAGATAGTCAGTGACCTACTGTATCACACAGACACACACAAGTCTGTGGGACCAGATGGGATATGCCCGAGGGTGCTGAAGGAGCTGGCTGGGTGCTCGCCAAGCTGCTTTCCATCATTTACCAGCAGTCCTGGCTGACCGGGGAGGTCCTGACAGATTGGAAATTGGCCAGTGTGACGCCCATCTATAAGAAGGGTTGGAAGGATGATCCGGGAAATTACAGGCCTGTCAGCTTGATGTCGGTGCCCAGGAAGCTGATGGAGCAGCTCATCCTGAGTACCATCACACAACACGTGTGGGACAACCAGATGCTCAGGCCCAGTCAGCATGGGTTTATGAAAGGCAGGTCCTGCCTGACAAACCTGATCTCCTTCTATCACAGGGAGACCTGCTTAGTGGATGAGGGAAATGGTGTGGATGTTGTTTACCTTGACTTTAGTAAGGCCTTTGACACTCTTTCCCACAGCATTCTGCTGGCAAAATTGGCTGCTTGAGCCTTGGATGATTGCACGCTCTGCTGGGTAAAAAACTGTCTGGATGGCTGGGCCCAAAGAGTTGTGGTGAATGGAGTTAAATCCAGTTGGCGGCCAGTCTCGAGTGGTGTCCCCCAGGGCTCGGTGTTGGGGCCACTCCTGTTTAACATCTTTATTGATGATTTGGATGAGGGGATCGAGTGCACCCTCAGTCAGTTTGCAGATGACACCAAGTTGGGTGGGAGTGTTGATCTGCTCGAGGGTAGGGAGGCTCTGCAGAGAGACCTGGACAGGCTGGAGCCATGGGCTGAGCCCAACTGGAGGAGTTTCAATAAGGGCAAATGCCGGGGGCTGCCCTTGGGCCACAACAACCCCCAGCAGCGCTACAGGCTTGGGGAGGAGTGGCTGGAGAGCTGCCAGTCAGAGAGGGACTTGGGGGTGCTGATTGACAGCCAGCTGGAGCCAGCAGTGTGCCCAGGGGTCCAAGAAGGCCAATGGCAT